CCCCTGCCTCGCGCCCCCTCCTGTCACGACCATCTTCTGTCGGCCGCCCCCTCAGCCACGCCGGCCGCTTGCCTCGCCTGCTACGTGCTGCTTCCTGCTGCTATGCGCTGCTCTACCGCTGGTACGCTGCTGCGCCATGTCCTCGACACCGCCGTGGACAAACATGTCGGAGGGATTGTCAATGGAGTACGAGGAGGAGGTGGCGAAGAAGGTGTGGAGAGGCAGGAGGTCTGGGGTGGCGTCAGCTGACTATGGTGGAGGTGTTTATGCGAGAAGGAGCCGGAGCGGAAAGAGATGTCACAATTGGAAAGAATCGCAAAAAAACATAACCTGTAGATCTCATTCCAAAAAAAAATACTAATATCGATGGAGGGGTGATTTCCTTGTATAGGTGTAAAACATAGGAAATATTGGTAGTTATGAAGGAAATGTAAAAAATTAGGAAAGTTATGATTTTGAACTGATTTCTATGCAAATGAAGTTTTTATTGTTTGGTAACGTGATATCAGTACCTGCCCGTTTGTGACGTGTCTGATTAGGAAAGTTTGCAAATGTTAAGAAACTATTTATTGGGAGGAAAGTTTGTGACGTGTCTATTATTTGTTTCTTAAAACAAATTTCACTAATGAGAAAAATCGATTGATTTAAATGAGTTAGATTAAAATATATTATTTGTTTCCCGAAAATCTGTTATTTGTTTCCTAAGACAAATTAAACCAATAAAAAGAATCGATTGATTTGTATAATTTAAGGAAGTTAGATCCGTGATTTGTTATACGTTAGGAAAGTTCTGGTTGTAATAAAGAGTGGAGAGAAAAATAAATCAATGACCAGGATGGGAGGGGGTGGTGGGAGGAGAGACGAAGAAAACCAGCGAAAATAAACCAGTGAAAATAAACCGTGGAGACTATTCATCAACTGCTCCATTTAAAATAGAGATGTCTGAGTTGATAGTCTCGCCTCACGGTTTATTTTCGCCTCCACATTCCACCACCCCTGATTTTTCGTCCTATCGATTTTTTCTATAGAAACCGATACCCCACACCGCACACAGAAAAGAACGAGAGCCTTCCCCACCGATTTTTATCTATCGCGGGAATCCCGCACCGGTTTTCTAGCACGCTAGCCTTCCCCACCATTTTTTCTAATCAACAATTTCCTTCTACTAGTAAGCGTGCACGTGCAACGCATGTTTCATAGTCTATAATAAAACATTTTTAATCTTATTTCTTGTATGGCGAGTTCTTTCCCGAACCATTTAAGTGTGTGCCCATGAAGTGAATCCGAACACATGTCTTCACATGAAATTCACAGTCACATAAATGTATTATAATTAATTACAAAAATATTTAGAAAAAAAAAGAAACAATATCTATTATTTGTTCTTTGACGATGATTCTCTCTTAAAGTTTCATGTATTGATGCAATCTGAATGCTTCGTTCCATGGCTGAGATATTGTTTAGAGCTTTATTCCCTTATTTCAAAACATGACCAAAATTTGCCTCCTCAGTCAAATATAATCCTACATATGCATTATACATCATTGTTATTTAAAAAATACCATGTGCAACGTATATAGAAATGACTATGGTGTAAATAATCACCCTGTGTACTAGAAAATGTAGCCCACCATCACACCATGAGTGCATGAAATTAGAAACCAAATAATCATGTAGTGAACCGGAATGTCTCCAACAAATTAGACGCCGTGCTACGCTAATATATGCACAACAATATTAATGCAATCAGCATCCATGTATTCATCATTCTTTAATTTGTTCCTTATTTGTCTCAAATTTAACCTAATAATATGATAATGATTATAGCTTTTACCCCATTCACTTATGTGAAATCGTAGTTATGTCAATTTTAATAACACAAGAGTATATTAGCTAGAGCTCAAAATGATCTGAAAAAATGTGGCTTACTACAACAAAGGGACATCATCAAGCATGTTGGTGCACAAGATGGTGAAAGAAGAAACGATTGCCAAGTTAAGCTCAAGTTTTGATGATGTGTTTGATGTAGGTAAATTCTTAGGGAGTCTATCCAGAATCATATAATCTGCGGGATCAGTACCGATTTCTTACATTATCATCATTCAGTTTCGAGTCCACTAAATGACAACTAATTTTGTTCCGAAATATGTCATATGATCATAATAAATTAGAGTCAGAATTCAAATAGTAATACAACATAGAATAAATATAATGTTAAGATATTATAAAACCTTCAGGCCAACTTCAACGCTAGACCCCATCCTGTCCGTCCGCATCTTTTGAGGACAAACGGACACATGCAACGTCCCAACATGCGCAAGCATCCCCATTTTTTGTCCCGGACGCGTTCGTTCTACTCCATTCGCAGACTGGGCACGGTCGGGGCTCTACAGGCGCGGGACGTGGCCGGAGCAAGGCGAGGAGGTTGCGGGCGGGCCGGTGCTCTGGCGAGGCGCGACAGGGCGACGGCGTGCGCTGCGGGCGGCAGGGTGGCGCAGCTGCGGGCTCTGCGGGGCACAACAACGGTGCTTCTGCGGGCAGCGCGACATGGCCACTGGCGACGACGGTGCGACTACGAGCGGCGAGGCGCGGCTGCGTGTGCTACATGAGTTGTGGGCCCAAGCTGTCTGTTTGGAATGCGTCCTGCGTTGGGTGCCTGGCCGGCGCAAACACAAATTCGGACGGACATGACCTTATTGCCATCACAAACGGACAAAATTCAGACAAAACGGATGTCCGTTTGAGGTTGTGCGTTGGAGTTGGCCTCGAGATCAACCATTGATATATGACCGAACCAGATTTGTAAACACTTGCCGTAAAAAAAAGAAATCGGACAACCGGAGCAAACACTCAACTCCCTCACTACACAGGTGGATAAGCTCCTCTCTCCCTCACAGAACATGTCCGCCCCTCTTCCACTACATCCCCATCGGCGGCGAGACGAACACCCACCCCTGCCTGGTCCATGGCGGCCGCCCTTCCCCTGCCGCTGATCTATGTCCCCTCCCCCACCCCCTGCCGCTGCGCCGGTCCATGGCGGTCTCTTCATGCAGCCCGGATCTGCCGCCTACGGCTTCCACCTCGCTTCCCTTTTCCCCATCGCTCTCCAGCCCCGCGACGAACGCGTTCGCGGCCACCAGCCTAGTCCGCAGCCACGGCTCCGCTCCAGCCGCCATGGATGAGTTTTGCCTCCAACGGGTCGTCGGCACCGACCACCGGGCAGCCTTGGAGGGATCCGGCAGAGGCTCCCCACCTCTACTACGGCCGGAGGAGGCCATCGATGCCCCCTACTTCACGCCGTCCCAGCAACAACGAGCGCCGCCGCGTCCGTTCGTGGGTACCCCCTGCTCAGTGTACTTCGTAGACGGTGAGGAATCCGAGATCCCCATTAGGATATGTATATGTGACTGCTTTTTGTCTAAATCTTGCGTGAACTGAACATAGTTATGTGCATACTGAACTTTGACTGAAATAATTGCTTGAGAGAATTAGCTATCATCAAATTGTCTACTTTGTTAAATTTAATGTGTTTGTTCAAAGTCTGCTATTGTAGGTTGACATGATGGATGAGTAGTCTGCTGATGATATCATCTACTCTCATTTGGTACTACACAATTCTTAATTGCGGACACTTCCTTTGTAATACGATTAATGGGGACATACAAAAAACATAGGTAGGAAGGTGTACCCATATGTCTCCACTTATTAGATATTAGTTCCATGTGAAGCGATGCAAATTGGAATACATTTTCCAGTACTTTCAGCTATTGCATGAATAAATGACAAAGCAACAAAGCATTAGCATCACAAGCAAAAAACAACATAAATCGTCTTATCAAAAGATGAGGCAGTGGGGCTAATAACTAACCATAGTAGCGAGGTCTTCGCGATTAATTCCCGTGCCTGATGAGTGTTGCTATTTACCTGATGAGTGTTTTTGTAGTTAAAAACAGCATAACAATTGTAACTTACTGTTTGTTATCTCGGAGCTGCACTGAGCATTCTTACATCGTTCGGCTTGTAATACTGTATAATTTCCTAAACACCATCAAGTTTCCAGAAAGCTCATTGTTAGATGCATTGGATAATGTGACTAGTGCAACATATGCACGAAAGGGCTCTTAAGGCCCTTTTCTTCATCTATTTAGATAACAGAGGTCCTGGTCTTCTAGGATTTACACTTGTTTCAGTCATAAACCTGTTGTTGCCTTTTTAGTGTGCTGAAAATCATGACTTTATTGTTTGGATCATTTGAACGCTGCCTTGTTTCAGTTACCACCATATTTTCCTGAGAGATGTTATTCTGTCCTTTTCAGATGTTCTACAAGCAGTCTTGCCCGGGAAGAAAATGCACATCACGGGGAACTTGAGAGTGGAGAAGAAAAACCCAATCCAGGTATTTCACTTCCTTGACCAAAACCCTCCAAGAACTATCAACAAGAGAATGACTGTGTCCTTAATAGATCATTTACATGCTAAGTTTGACTATGTCCTGAATAGGTTCATTTACATGCCAAGTGGACACAGATTCATCATCCATAGAGCCTGAATGTTAAAACAAAACACTATATTGTTAAAACAAATGAGTTGGTTTCATATTCTTGGACTGGGACTTTCTTCTTCTCTCTCTTGGACTGGGTTACAAATAGATCATACAGGGTTTTATTCATTCAGTCATACATATTCGAATATAAAACAACATGATGGAGGGCTCCAGTTTGATGCATCGTTAAAATTCATGCTGAAGTCACAGGAGGTAGATCTATTATGGTTTGCCCAAAAATTATGCATTGATCAGCAAACTGTTGTAAATATGCAAAACAGTGAAGAACATTATTATAAAGATGCAAATTTGACAGGGATTAGGGAAGCAATGAAGTACACACATATTTGCTAAATAGAATTTCCCTTGTGCAGGCAGGTGCGTTGGCTAAGGACTTGGTTGGCACCGACGTCGTCGGCTGCGGAAGGCAGCGATGGCCACCACTCGCTGGACGGCGATGGCGCAACAGTGGCTTGGCGGCGCCGACGTCTCACTGCAATGTGCGTTTGAACTTCGACATCGAAGAAAGACATCGAGATTAACTGGGATGGAACTGGCCACATACTGCGCACAAGAGGATAGTCTGCATCTGCGTTGGCTAGAAGCTCGTCGGCGCGGGCGTCGTCCGCTGCGCATGGCGGCGATGGCGCAGGACAGGCTGGGCGGCTGCGACGTACGTCCGGGCGGGCAAAGGCAGGAAGATCGAGTTGATTCCCGTAAGTTTAGCCGTTTGTTGTGAGGCGGACGTATCAATTGCCGTAATTGTGGCTGTTTTTCTGTAATTGATTGGCTTGAAATTTTTTTGCGGGGAGGTAGAACTGTTCGATCGATGGCAGAGTTTTGTCCGCTATTCTAAATTGCTAAACGCACACAGTTGGAGTCTGACTTTAATCTGGACGGTTAGATGCCTAATCTTGGGGTGGTAGTTTGTCTTGTTTTTCCCTGTGTACGTTTACCTGGGTGGGTATAGTAAAGAATATGTTTGCTTGTTTAATAGTAAGTAGAGAAGAGATTGATTGGCTTGAATTTTTTTTGCGGGGAGGTAGAACTGTTCGATCGATGGCAGAGTTTTGTCCGCTATTCTAAATTGCTAATCGCACACAGGTGGGGCCTGACTTTAATCTGGACGGTTAGATGCCTAATCTTGGGGTGGTAGTTTGTCTTGTTTTTCCCTGTGTATGTTTACCTGGGTGGGCATAAAGAAAAATATGTTTACTTGTTTAATAGTAGTAGAGATAAAGATCAGCGAACGATCAAAGATCAAAACTCTTTCCTTCTAATCAACACTTTCCTTCTAATCAGCGAACACCAATCAACGAAGGAAATGACAAAATATCAATACTTTCCGTCTAATATAACACTTTCCTTCTAATCAAACTCTCCGTATACAACTCTCCATATGCGCCAGTCTTTCTTTTCGGTCGCTGCGATTTTATGGCCGCGGCATTTGGGTGTCTCGCTGATTTGGTGTGTGGATTTGTTGGCGGTGTGCCAGGACGGCTGGGGATTTGGATGCCGGCGATGTTTTTCACGAAGGGCCTGGACCAGGTCGCGCTCAAGTTGGTGCGGAAGGTGAGCAGGCAGCGACGGCCTCATGACACCGCCGGAGAAGTTCAGGAGCGGCCACGTGCTACGCGCGTCGGTGCCGCTGCGCGCCGCATACGGGAGCACCTCCACAGCCTCCGACGTGGACAAGTCCTCGAACGCCGAGGAGGTCGAGCTCTGCAGCTGCGGCAGTTACTCCGTCGTAGGCATCGCCCCGCCGCCGCATGGTCGCCTTTCATGGCTGCCACCAGCGTCGGCGGGAATGAATCTCCGATGACACCCGAGGACTCCATAGTGGTTTGTACCTCTTTTATGATTGACGAACTCACCGCTGTTCAGCTTCCCTACTAGCTATCTCTTACTGTTCAATGTTTTCAGTATCGTCTAGGCTGGGAAAGGTCGAGAGGGTAACTAAGGAGACAAATGTACATGTCAAGATCAACCTGGACGGCACTGGTCACTAGTAGAAAACGGAGCTTTAAAACCGATTTGTAAGGGCCTTTAGTGCCGGTTAGAGAACCGGCACTAAAGTGTGGGCACTAAAGGCCCCCCCCCCCTTTAGTACCGGTTCGGCACGAACCGGCGCTAAAATGCCACCACGTGACGTGAGCTCACGCCCTGGTATGGGGGACCTTTAGTACCAGTTGGTGGGTGTTACCAACCGGTACTAAAGGTTTTTTTTTGAAAATTTTGAAATTTTTTTTGATTTTTTTTTCGATTTTTAATTTTTCTGAATTATTTGATGATTTAGTCTCTAATCACCTCTCTTAACTGCTCAAGTGTGGATCACTCATTCCAAATCATCTAACTTCCCGACCGGTCACTCATCCCTCTCACTACTCCAGTCTGAGCACGCTTAACTTTCGGGTTCTATTCTCCTTCGTTTTCAAGTCTGCACTTGTTGTATTCCTGACAATAGTAAGATGTTAATCCTATTAACCCTCAGGAGTTTAGTTTGAGCATGAAGTCACACATTTCACCGTTTGAGTTTGAAACTATTATTCTAAAAAAACAGTAATTATTTAGTAACGCTAATATTTTTTGAATAAGTTTGACCACAGTTTGACCATAGTTTGACCATGTTTTGACCAAAATTCAAAAAATTGAAATAATTATTTAGTAACACTAATATTCTTGAATAATTATGTAGTAGCATTAATACTTCTTGAATAAGTAGTTTGACCAGATTTAATCAATTTTTTTAAAAAAAACTGAAATTTGACCATATTGTTTTTTCCTTTTGGAATTTGAGGATTCTAAAAAATTCCAAACAGGCCATAGGCTGTCTCCATCGGATGCGGATTTTCGTGCTGAATTTTTTGATATATTATACGTTTTTTTCTGACATCGTATGCAAAAGTTATAGCCGTTTTATATTTTCCCTACACTTTTTGCAAAACATGTCCAAATTTAAGTTTTCAAATTTTCCTAACTAGTAGATGTAGTAATATAACTACCTCTCGAAGGATTTTATTTTTTGAAGTTTTTATCATTTTCTTTTGATTTTTTCAGAACTGAAATGGCGACACACGAGGGGGGGTAGAGTTTGAAAATTGCCCTATAGTGTCGGTTTGTGTCACAAACCGGTACTATAGGTCAGCCCCCTTTAGTACCGGTTCGTGCCACGAACCGGTACTAAAGGTGATCGTGGGGCCCCGGCCTGACGCCAGCCTGCCACCACCCCTTTAGTACCGGTTTGTGCCACGAAACGGTACTAAAGGTTCAATACGAACCGGCATTAATGCAAATCCGTTCGAACCGGCACTAATGGTACCATTAGTACCGGGCCTAAATCAAATCGGCACTAATGTGCTTCACGTTTGACCCTTTTTCTACTAGTGGGTGTTGCAAACTACAGCACAGGGATACCGTTCTTGGATCACATGCTTGATCCTTGATGTGAGTATGGTTTACTCCTCATGTCAGTAGTTGTGGATTCATGATTTTTTTTCTAGACAATATATCTTCCTTTTTTACGACCTAGGTTTTTTTTCAAAGCAAGAGTGTGATTTCTGTGGCATTTGTGTGATGAAGATAAAACAAAACAAAATCTTAACTTGAACACACAAAATGGATAAACACACAAAAATGGCAGGCAGTGTTCTGAATTTGTGTTGGTCAAAGCCTTCATATGGAGGGCATTCTAACTTTAGGTGCTTATAAGAGCATAATGAGTACAATCATGTTATTATTTGGAGAAAGTGATGTATACACGACTAAGCCTGAAGGGGCCTGTTGTAGAAAAGTCTACTGCCTTTCAAGATGCACGTGTTAGGTGATGTTGAGTAATTGGGATGGGAATTCTTATTTGATTTTTCTTCTTAACTAATTTTTGTAATTGTATGTGTGAACTGTGCATTTGGTTATTCCACAACAATGACAAACTGACAATAATGGCCACAGTGGGTTCCAAACCCTTACGTCTGAAATTAATACTCCCTCTTTCCATTTATATAGGGCCTAATGCATTTTTTGAGATTAACTTTGACCAAATACTAGAGCAATAATATATGACATGCAACTTATATAAAGCACACCGTTTAATTCGTGTGTGAAAGGAGCTTTTAATGATATAATTTTCACATTATGCATGTTATGTACTATTAATCTTGTCAATAGTCAAAGACAGTCTTAAAAAACGCATTAGGCTCTATATAGATGGAAGGAGGGAGTAAGTGAAATGAAACTACAGTTAAGTGCTTACGAGTAGCAGAAACCAATGCAAGTAGGAATAAAAATATTGGGATCTCTACTTCTAATGGAGTAGTTGGTAGTCTTCGCCGGTCAATTTTCGTCCCACCTATCATGGTTTTTTTCATCCCACCTTCGCTGGTTTTTTTTCGTAGATTTTTTTCGTCCCCTCCCCCCACTTCATCAGTTTATATCTCTACTCATAATGGAGCAGTTGGTAGCCTCGTACGGTTTATTTTTGTCCTTTTCCCACCTCCCCTGGTTTTTTTCGTCCTCCCTTCCACCTCCCAATTTTGTTGGTTTTTTTCGTCGGTTTTTACTCGCCCCCTCCCACCTCCCAATTTCGTCTGGTTTTTATTCGTCCCATCTCCCACCACCCCCTCGTACTGGTTCTTTTTCTCTCCACTCTTTCCCTGCAAACCAATAATTTCTTAACATACAAAAGATCATGAATCTATCTTTCCTTACCCAAATCAATCGCTCCCTACATCAGTGCATTTCTTTATTAAGAAAACTAACACGTAAATCTTAACGCATTGTAAACAAATCCCGTTATGGACCTAATTAATTTATTATGGAATCTATACGTGGTCGCATTGGGAAAAGAATTCTATGATACCAGGTATCACGCGAGACCCATCCTGATGGATGACACGTGGCATTTACAAATCACAAAGCATCCCCCATCCCCCACTTAAAATCAGGAGGGAGAGAGATTAGATGCTTTGTGATTTGTGAATGCCACGTGTCATTCATCAGGACGGGTCTCACCTGCTAACCGTGAGACATGGTCTCATAAATTTTTTTCCGTCGCATTGGTTCTTTTTCTCTCCACTCTTTCCTTGCAAACCACTAATTTGCTAACATACAAAAGATCACGAATCTATATTTCCTTACCCGAATCAATCGCTCCCTACATCAGTGCATTTCTTTATTAAGAAAACTAACACGTAAATCTTAACGCATTGTAAACAAATCCCATTATGGATCTAATTAATTTATTATGGAATCTATACATGGTCGCATTGGTTTTTTTTCTCTTCACTCTTTCTTTGCAAACCACTAATTTCCTAACATACAAAAGATCATGAATCTATCTTTCCTTACCCGAATCAATCGATCCCTACATCAGTGCATTTCTTTATTAAGAAAACTAACACGTAAATCTTAATACATTATAAACAAATCCTATTATGGACCTAATTAATTTATTATGGAATCTGTAATGGGATTTTTGTAACATTCAAAAGATCACGAATCTATCTTTCCTTACCCGAATCAATCAATCCCTACATCAGTGCATTTCTTTATTAAGAAAACTAACACGTAAATCTTAACGCATTGTAAACAAATCCCGTTATGGACCTAATTAATTTATTATGGAATATATAACGGGATTTTTGTAACGGAATCTGTAACGCATTGTAAACAAATCCCTTTATGGAATATGTAGTTTAGGTTCTGATTCATTTCAATCACGTAAATAAATAGGTAATTAATGTTGGGTTTTGTAGTAATTTCAAAAAATTTCCTACGCACACGCAAGATCATGGTGATGCAAAGCAACAAGAGGGGAGAGTGTTGTCTACGTACCCTCGCAGACCGACTGCGGAAGCATTGACACAACATAGAGGAAGTAGTCGTATGTCTTCACGATCCAACCAATCAAGCACCGAAACTACGACACCTCCGAGTTCGAGCACACGTTCAGCTCGATGACGATCCCCGGACTCCGATCCAGCAAAGTGTAGGGGAAGAGTTCCGTCATCACGACGGCGTGGTGACGATCTTGATGCACTACAGCAGCAGGGCTTCGCCTAAACTCCGCTACAGTATTATCGAGGAATATGGTGGCTGGGGCACCGCACACGGCTAAGGAATAGATCACATAGATCAACTTGTGTGTTCTAGGGTGCCTCTGCCTCTGTATATAAAGGACTAGAGGGGGGAAGCAGGCCGGCTAAGGTGTGGCGCGCCAGGAGAGTCCTACTCCCTCTGGGAGTAGGATTCCCCCCCCCCCCCAATCCTAGTTGGAATAGGATTCGCGGAGGGGGAAAAGAGAGAGAGGGGGCTAGCCACCTCTCCTAGTCCTAATAGGACTCGGGGAAGGGGGAGGCGCGCAGCCCATGTAGGGCTGCCTCTTCTCTTTTCCACTAAGGCCCATCATGGGCCATTTAGCTCCCGGGGGGTTCCGGTAACCTTCCCGGTACTCTGGTAAAATCCCGATTTCACCTGGAACACTTCCGATATCCAAACATAGGCTTCCAATATATCAATCTTTACGTCTCGACCATTTCGAGACTCCTCGTCATGTTCGTGATCACATCCAGGACTCCGAACAACCTTCGGTACATCAAAATGCCTAAACTCATAGTATAACTATCATCGTAACCTTAAGCGTGTGGACCCTACGGGTTCGAGAACAATGTAGACATGACCGAGACATGTCTCCGGTCAATAACCAATAGCGGGACCTGGATGCCCATATTGGCTCCTACATATTCTACGAAGATCTTTATCGGTCAGACCGCATAACAACATACGTTGTTCCCTTTGTCATCGGTATGTTACTTGCCCGAGATTCGATCGTCGGTATCCCATACCTAGTTCAATCTCGTTGCCGGCAAGTCTCTTTACTCATTCCGTAATACATCATCTCGCAACTAACTCATTAGTTGCAATGCTTGCAAGGCTTATGTGATGTGCATTACCGAGAGGGC